AAGGACCAATTAGAGACACGGGAGAGTGAGATACTCACACTAAAATCAAAGAACACTCTGCTCATACTATCCTCTTCTCCTCACATGTTTTGAGGTAATAGTTCATAATTAATCGGGTCAAGAATGTAGTCTCCATATATGATTCAAATTTAAATACAACTTTAAGAGCTATGACAAACTCATGCAACATATTGATTCACATAAAAATTAGCTAATGTTCAGAATCTGACAGCGATGTATCTTGCTTTTTATAAAACTCGAACAAAGAGATGCATATATCAACTGTTGCCAACACCACTAATAAAAACGTGTTGATGTTCCTCCTACAAATGACAGTAGAAACCATTTTCATTCGAGGAATATCTCACATGAAAAACACACACTAAGAAAAATTGTTACATAAATGGAATAACGGCAAATTTCAGAATACATATGATTGTATCAAATATGAATAGTAATGACTATGTGTTTAATACTGTCAAACCAGCCGCATGGGCTCTGGAAGACGTAGCATTGTAAACCTTGTTGTTTAAGATCGGCTTATCGATCACAACCCTCTCCATAAATTTATATTCTTCGTGCATCTTGACCACTGCTTGAACATCGTTCACGGTATGAACCGGAATTGCGAACGGTATGAACCGGAATTGCAGAGCCGCTGCCAAACCTCTACTCGAAGTCCAACTACCCACCATCGTCTTACTGTCGTTGGGAGTGGAGTGATCGTGAGTGTTGAGTGCTTCTATGACGTTACGAAAGACTTTCAGAATGTCATTGTTACGTTCACTAAGGAGGAATTGAAATGGGGATCTAAGAAATCAAGGTCGAAATCGAGGGTTAGGGCAAAATTGGAGAAAAAGGGATTTGGAATGGGCGACGTCGTTTCAGAAGGAATAGGACCGTCAGAAATTGATAGTGTTGGGCCAGGGAGTTCTGTTAGTGGGCCGGTTACTGTTGGGCCAAGGAAGAGCGAAAGAGTGGGTTTGCAGATTTTGGCTGGGCTGGAAAAAGGAGGGTCCGGATGATCAAATTGGAGAGACAGCACCTGAACCTATTAACCTAGAATTATTATTATGTTTTGTCATTTTCCTTATTTTATGTTTTCATTTAATTATTTCAGTACTTGTTGTCAGCATATTATTATAAGGTGCTGTGAGGAAAAATGAGAGGGGCATGATCAGTTTATTAAGAATTCTCTCTCATCTTATTTCTCTATATCTCTCTTTCCCCCTTTTCTTACAAAATACTTACAAACCCTAATAACAACATATCAAGAATCTTACAGTCATCGTTCGGCATGATCTTCACCTCTAACATCCTAGCAACCTGTGTTTTAGTATGATTGCTTCCTAGCGAGGCCTTAGCCTTGGTTATGAAGAACCTATTGAGTTTTCAACCCAAACAAGCCATTTGGAGAGTGGAATCTTTGTTAATATTGTAATCCTTCAGCTATTTATCAACTTGATCCAACTTTTTGTTTTTGAAAAACAATGTTGGATCATCGGTGTGATTCTCCATTTCTTGGATCATCGTCTTGACTTCACCGATTGTTTCGGAGTTGTTGACCTGGAGGGCAATAGTTGCCGCTATCGGTTTTGACGAAGAATCCAAATGTGGGGGTGGAGGATGGAGGGTTAATTTCTTCCCCATTTTGTAATCAGCATCCACCATTTTTCCCCTTTCTTCGCCTATCGTTTCTGATTCACCCATGACATCGCCGATTAATACATCAACAATCTTCTCGGTTAGGTTCTAACAGAAACTTGCATGCCGCCTCGGAGGTGGAGGAACACACTAAAAAATGCTCTTCTCGTGCTCTATAGCACGAGACCACCTTTGTTTCATGCCCCAAAGCACGAGATACTGGGTGGGTCATATTGTAGAGCACGAGACTACCTTGTAAATTTTTTGTAAGTTCTTACTTTATATTTTATTCATTAGTACTAATATACTAATTATTAATTTTTATACTTTGGTAAGATAATGAAGACGAATTTGACAATAAATATGAGAATGAGTATGAGAATCCCAACATGTGTTATGATATTCCTCAAAACACAACAACATCTGAGGATCATAGTGAATATTTCAATGTGGATATTGAGTTTGAAACTAGTAAAAAATTAGTGGTATGGGCAAAAAATACCGCTGGTACTCATGGTCATCGATTGATAGTAGCTTCAAGTGAGAAAACCGTTTATGTACTAATTACCTGTCATCTATATGGGAAGGAACGTAAAAAACGAACCGATGTTGAGAGTTCACGAAATGTGGGAACAACGAAATGTGGATGTATGTTTCGTTTATATGGTAGCAGAAATCGAAATGATGGACCATGGCGAAATATGACGAAATTACCCCTGCTAAAGCCTATAAAATATAAATATAAGGATTTGTTTTAGCCATTTTCCACTATATTTTTTAACATTTTCAGTCAATTTTACTTGGTAATTTTGGTATTTTATTTTTTCCTACAAAACATCTAATTGCTTAATTTTTTTAATTTTCTGAATAAAATCTTTTATTTTTGTCATTTTGAGTTTTTTTCATTTTTTTCTTAAATGTCTTCCGGTAGTTCAAATATCATAAGTTACAAACATCTTTACAATCCTATGATTGTTGAGCATTTGAACTACCGAAAGACATTTAAGAAAAAAATGAAGAAATTCAAAATGACAAAAATAAAAGGTTTTATTCAGAAAATTTTAAAAAAATCTAAGCAATTAGATGTTTTGTAGGAAAAAATAAAATACCAAAATTACCAAGTAACATTGACTGAAAATGTTAAAAAATATAGTGGAAAATGGCTAAAACAAACCCTTATATTTATATTTTATAGGCTTTAGCAAGGGTATTTTCGTCATATTTTGGGAAAAATGTGATAGTAGGGGAATTTTTGTATGGGCAAATTACCAAAACCCCCCTGAGGTAAGTCTAAATAACGAAAATCCCCTCCACGTTCTCGTAATTACGAAAACCCCCCTTGACTAACGGTTGACCGAATTTTTTTAACCGAAAATGTGAAATGTCTATTATATCCTTCTGTTAAATATTTGAAAATAAAAGAAAAAATCTGAAAATGTGCGAAAACGACAACCCGTGACGTGGGCCTTTCCCACCTAACGTCACCCCACCTTCGATTCATTTTCCGAGAATCAAACTCTCGTCGTCGTTACAGATTCTTGATTATGCTACTCCTCAATTTTCCAATCCATACATTTTTTTCTCATAAAAATTGAATCTTTAACTTCTGCTACTTTCCAAACCTTGATTTTGCACAAAAATGGAAAATCAAAAATCAGGCGCCGACGTGGATCAACATAAAGCAACGGAAACTCCGTCAGCTATAACGGCACAGGTCGGAATTTCTAATTTTGTTAATTGGGTCTTTTTAATTATGTTTCTGTTGATTTATCTTAATTTTCCCCCAAATTTAGCCCTAGATCAATTTTTGGGATTACACTAAATTAAAGCTTCTATACTAGTGAGGTAATTGATTAATTCTTCATTGCACATAGGCTGATTCTGAAAATAAAGAATCTATTAATACAGAACCAGGGCCAAGTACTAGTCGAATTGCAGATTTAACCCTTCAAATTCCTCCGAGGCCCGGTGCTTTT